TTAATTACTTTATACCTATATATATAATATATATAGGTATATTTAAAAAATATGCATATATATTTATATTTATAGATTTATACTAAAATATTATAATAGTTGTATTCAAAATTCAGTGGTTTGTTTGTAAAGATATATTTTGTATCATGTAGCATAAATAATTTTTATTATGTAAGATTTTCTTTCGTAGCATTCTTTTCCCTAAAGAAATAAAGAGAGACAGAGAACTTTTGAAAGCCTATCCTTCAGCTTTGACATAGAATGTGTTCATTTCCTTTTATGTAGTGTTCTTTTATCGTATAGGAATTCTCAATTTAAAGGCTTTTATATAAAAATATATCGAAAATTTCTTATTTAAAATTGCTTTTCAATATTGTTTAAACATATATTGAAATATATGAGGAAATATTTTTTACTGCGGCAAACTTATGATAATAATAATAACAACAACGTGTATAACAAAGATTTTTTTATTAAATATTTTTATTAAATATTTTATATATTTTTATTAAATATTTCGATCTTGTAATACTACAGAACTTAAAAATTTACCTGAAAAAGACATCGCAATCTCAACTGTTTTTTTTATAAAAAATGATTGCAATGGCGACTAAAGGAAAATTTATTACGAACTTACTTGCACACCGTGGGGAGAATGTCTTTACTCTATATTTGTAGAAATATGTGTTCGAAAACTTTTCTCTTTCGGAGTGTACTCATTTTTCAAGCTCGTATTGGTCGTGCCACTATTTCCAGAATATATTGCAACTAAACAATCTATTCCCCAAACGCTCAACAAAAATGGATTCAACGAAAAGTATTTTTATATAAAGCAGCAATGTAAACAATACAGGTACTTAAACTCAAAACTTTTAAAGTATTAAAATTTAAAAGTTTAAATATTTTAAGAGTAAAATTTAAGTGCTCAGTTTCTTTTGAAACTAATATTTATCAACTGAATATCTTCTAAATACTTTTAAATACTTTAAAATTGCAACTTAAAGTTTCCGCTTTTACAAGCAAAATTAGTCAGAAATTTAGTTAAAATTGAACATAAACGGATTTCGTGAAAATAAGAAGATGCTTAACAAAATAAATAAAGTGAAACTTGACTTAACATTGACAATTGTTTCAACGAGAAACGTTCGCAATGCTGTATTATTATTTCGAACGATATTGCTTCTTTCGTGCCACTTGCTTGTTTGTATTATTCTTGCCACGTGCTCGAAAGCGCGCGGGAAAACGATATCGTTCGTGGCTTTTCATGCTGCAGGCTATATGCGATGCAGTGTACGGTATATGTGCATTTACATCGTGTGGTGTTCGACCATGTGCGACATGCATTTGCGATCGACTATCCGACACCTCTGATAGGTGACGGATCTTTTCGTATCGCCGCGACCGTTGTCGTTTGGTTGCGATCGCAAAAGCAAATAGAAACAAGTTTTCATTTATGCGATGCATTATTTGTGAATGCAATGATTTAAATTATAGTTGTAACTTTATGTGACATTGCGTTAATTCATTCCGAATCAAGTAAAAATTGACTCCTTTTGAGTGAAATTGTAAACGAAACTGAAGTAAGTGTATAAAAATTAATGCAATTTAAAATAAAAATCTTGTAATTTATTGTGTAATCAAGAATGCAAGAAATTAGTGTTTTATCTTCAATATAATAAAAAAATGATGCTTTTATTTAACATTATTAAAAAATGAATCGTGTAAATTTATACAAATTTATAAAATTCAATGAAGAAAGAAAGCTTTATTTAAAGATGAGATAAAGAATTGGAACGAATTTGTGCAGCCAGTAAATTTAACTGACGTTGGTCAAGACAGACGTAAAATGATTAGAGATAGGTCTTATTAACAATTTACGAAACTATTTTTGACACGCTGCATCCGATACGTCATAAAGTTTTACAGCATGACATTTATGCTTGTCACTATTAATGTTATTGCGCATAACGAATCCCCGTCTAGCGCACCTTACCGTTTTGAGCCGAAATTGCATTATTGTAGGATGACATTATCGTAATTGTTTCGCCAACTCGCGATGCTCGGAGCAAGATGTATAGTTGTTGACATCTTAAGCTTTCAAGAACGTTTAAGTGTCCGCGTTACTGTCTTAGCTTTAATAATTGACTTTCCAAAGCTCTGCGTGATATCAGGATTATGCCCGAATTTTCTCGTTTTTTCCTTACTATTTTGATATACTTATGTCGGAAATGTAAGACTTCATTTTTCTTTGCACATAATTACAGGCAAATACATGTGCAAAAAATGAATTTATTCAAATTGCGGAAACATATAAAACAGTTAAAATTTTTTGTCGACAAATTATGTTTGTATAAAGTTTATGAAGTTAGCTCTAAATATGAATTTTTACAGAATTGATTAAATGATATTTGATTGTCCATGATTTCTCCACATTTATCTATAAATAATAATAATTTATTGCTAGTGTAAGCATCTTAAAAAAAAAATGTAAATAATTTATTGCGAAAATATTATCTCAGTCGGGATTTCGTAAAAATTCATATTTAGAGAGAAGGGGGCGTCTACTTTATAATCTTATATAAACACGATTTGTTGATCTTTAAATATTTCAGACCTTTTACTCTTCAGATATGTTTATTGATGCCGCTGTTCTTTCGTGTACAACTATAATTTATATATCACATTTATATAGCACATGTTAAATTTTCCGCTTACGGAACCAGTCGCCTATGCAGCCATCGATTATTATTACAATTTCTGTAATATTCCGTTTTATTCACGGACGCGTATAAATTATTGTTCTCGAATAGTAATTAACGGCCGTACGGTGGCAATAACGGATAGTAATTCTGGCGATAATTTGAATTGGATGTAACGTATTATAGCAAAATAATGATTTTATAGTGCTCGCGCGAGTACTTCGAAGCGGCGGCGATTGTTTCCGATAATCACCGCTCGTAAATATCCGGCTACACCTTTTAATAGCTCCGAATAAATTAAATGTTTGCCGACGATACCCTACTCTTCAACGATGATCGCGATCGGATTGTGTCGAAATGCAGTGATAAGTGATTGCGTGAATCAATTGTAGTGACAATTAAAATAAGAATTACCAGACATATCCTTTCTTTCCGTCAGATCAACGCTGTTTGTATTCTTAATTTGTTCTTTTTTATTGCAAAGTAAACATTTAAAGTAGTGTTCAATCTTTAATTATTTTCTTATACAAACACGTAATATTATTTGAAATAATTCTTAATTTTGAAATTAAGAAAAATTGAAGGTGTTGTAATATAAATATCCCTTTTAAAATCTAAAGTTGATTTCTCTTCTTACATTTTATGACAAATCTATCTTTAACACTGCTCTTTTTAATTACGTAATACAATTTTTAAAAAGGAATTAGAAATATTATTCAAAATTTTGTTATACATACAACTAAATATAAATAAATTTTTATATGACGAGAAGAAATAATAACAAAAAGAAATTTATGAAAGAGATATCTCGCAGACAAAAAGCAGACCGAATATATGACATTAATTAAAGTTGCTGAGTTGAAGTGGATTAAGACAAATTGGAAAATATTTTTTCATTTGTGAAAAACTGAAGTGAGTGGATTAGTTGATACACGTAAAATATAATAGACATGACACCTGTTAATCGGTACGTCGCGATGTCGCGAGAGGATTGACCTGCACGGAACTGTCTGAATAACAGACGCGCGTAACGTACGCGCGAAAGTATGAACACGGGTAATAAATGATCGTCGCGTTCGTACAAATTTTCCGTGGACTGTGACGAGAGCGAGACATTAATGCGGCCGCATTGGCCGCGGCGTGGCGAAATGTGGCTCATCGCCGGAAAGCTGACGTTGCTCGAAGTCATCGCGCGACGCGGCCTGTCGAATTTGTCCATATCTCCGGGGGACGCCCACTGTAACGCGGCATCGTTAGCTGGTCTCGTCGACTTTATGGACATATTTATGTTTGTCACGAACTGTATACAGAACGCGTTGCGGCAATATTAACGATCACCCACGCGGCAAAGCAAACGCGGCGCGCCGCCGCTCTTCGCGATTAATATCCACGCTTTCTGCTAGCGGCGGCGTTTGGATTTATAGAACGTAATGATATATTTGCCGCGTGCCGTAATTATGTATTACCGCGCTTATATCCCACGTACTCCGCCTCGTAATGCGGGACACAAATGTAATGCCTCCTCCGACAGGTCGGGACAATCCATTCGCGTTCGCGCCGTGAGAAGAGTATATTCATCGTTATTGAGTGGATATTTATTACATCGCGCGCACGATGAAAAATTCATTCGACGTTTCAATACAGATGCGCGTTACAAGGCTCTCTATATTGATCGCACTTTGCAATCGTGTTTTTGTGTATTAGTAACGAAAACATTACAACGACAATAAGCGAAGTAGCAATTGATGTTTTCACGAAAAATTATTCACACGAAACATTTTTGGACGAGATTTATATTAAATGATCCTGATTTGACGCACGTGCACGTTTTGCGATGAAAGTTTATGAATAATACCATCAAGAATTTTATAAAAAAATTATAATATACATATATTGATGAATATTTATTTCATAATAATATAATCGATATAAGTTTAACAGGAAACGAAAGCTTTTGATCGTGTTTACTAAGCGAAAACGTATCCAATAAATTGTATAAGAATTTTATTCGCAGGGTAAATAAAAATTTAATCATTTTTAATCTACATTCGATAAATATACACGTCACGTCGATCTTTTTTATCGAACATGTTGATTTACAGAAATACAGATTTAGAAATTGCAAATATCTGGCCTCGGACATTCGTGCTTTTTTTTTTTTAAAGACACGCGACCGTTGATCACATTTGCGATAAGTCGCGGTAATTGATTGTGAATAAATTGGTAATTCGGAGATAGCAGCTACCATCGCTGCTTGCCAGGCCACATAATTAATTCCGCGGCGTTATCTTTCTGTTTCAGGTGAGTCGACGCCGTCGAGAAAATGGACGAGCTCTCTCCCCCGGGGCCGTTCAACTCTGAATACGCGTAAATCTTACGTACACATGTGAGAGCGAGCAGCTCGGTACGTACTATCGACGCGTATTTCTTTTAGAATACGGCGCGAACCGACAGTTAAACTATCTGGCAATGTCTGGCTATTCGCAGATCAAGCGTATGAATTTTCCTTACGAAAGCTTACAAATAAAAAAATGTTCCGCTGCGGAAATATTTTATTTGGACTGCTTTTTATACAATACATTTATTTAATCAGTGATACGATACTTATATGTATCTTAGAAAAAAATATATATATATCTTATTAAATAATCTGAAATAGAAGAAATAGTATTTTCTAATTAATATATTATAGTATTTATATATATGGTATATATGTGAATGAATTCAAAATATTCTTAAAATTATATTATATATGACTTCGTACGTCATGAAATAAACAATAAAAACATTACAGTTTTATAATTTCTACTATTTTAAGAATTACTTTTTATTATTTTTAATTATATTTTTTATTAAAAAATATTACGATCAATTTTTATTATAAAACAATTTTTTTGCATCTTTGTTAGATGGTTACTTTTTGTCGGATTTTAAACTGATATTTTCTGCAATCAATTTTTATGCTATTAATTTTACAAGAAATTGTAAGACTCAATTTATGTATTTACATACGTGTTCCAATCTATTCTTACGTGATCTTTGTATCGTTCCATAATTGCAATCGAATAACAAGTCGCTCGACTGTGATAGCTCGCGGTGAATTCCCGTCCAGAGACCAACAAATCATGCACCAATCATTTTTGGTGGCACGCTAATTGGATGCCGAGTTCGTGGCTCCCCCCCCCCCCCGGGTTACTGATAACCGAGCGCAGCCAATTTAGAGACGCGCTCCGTTCTGCTATCGCTCATCCCACATATGCCAATGCGCCTGTTATGGTTGTAAAGTGATTTCAAATTCTGGCGTGTATTCGGATATTCGAATATTACCACGATTCGATCTTCGAAATTGATTTTATTTGACCTACATCTCCGCATAATGCAATTATTTACACATTTATATGTTTATTGTCGGTGTAGGATAAGATGGTATAATTTTGAACGCGGCAGAATTTCGAAATAAGATTTGAATCCAATTTTCGAGATTCAAATTTCGTAATTCTAATTATATTGTATGAAGAATAGGTACTGAAGAATACAAAATAAGAAAGAACCAAATTTGAACCTCAAAAATTATATTTAAGTCTTATTTTATTCAGAAATGTATTACGTTTGAAGTTGTATCAGTTTCTTATCCTATATCGCGTGACAAAGATAATTTGAAGATGTTGTTTGGGCTACAAGATATCTAAATACCTTGAAAAATTAATTCTGATATTTAAAGAAAGCAGTATCTCGTAGGTATTTTAAATATTTACGTCGACCACGTGTATTCTCGAGACACTGTCCAGTACTGTCAACGTACGATATACGACATTCGCAAGATCCCTCTAAGAAAAGAGCTGTAGTTCGATATCGGTTGTCACGTTATTCGCAACCCGCCAACCTCAAAAGCGAGCAAGGAAACTTCTTGCTCAGTCTCCCTCTCTCTGCTTCGTCTCTCTTTGTATTGGATCGTTGTGTCTCCCGTTCGCCTGTATATCCTGTAGACCGCCGCCGTCGCCTCGTTTTGTACGTTTTCCTTAGAGTCGACAAGCTTGATGCGATCGCGAGCTTATTCGCCAAGAATTTCCTCCGGAAATACGCGCGCGTCCGTCGATCGTGCGAGCCACTTAACATAAAAGAAGTAGGTCATCCACTCTCGTTTCCTTTTGGTCAAGGACTTTGATAGAATGGAAGATGAGCCGCTAGTCGCATTCGCGAATCAAAGAAAGATCTGACACGATAGAAGCTGTAAATGCCAGAAGAAAGTATCTTAGAAAATGATAATATTGGTAAGAGTAAATAATTTTTATTAAGAAACGTAATAAAAAATGACACTTAAAACTGTTATATGTCAAGTATTCAGTATGAAATCATTTCGATGACGTGTACGAGAGAATATTATTAAAGTTATATTTGTATTGCGGTCTTTCTTTCTTTCCTATCAGTCAAGAACTCAGAATAGAGAACGATTTGTTAGCTGTATTTATTAAACAGAGAGTGATACAGATAATTTGAGAAATGTATTTCATGAGAATATTCACAATATGTTATTGAGATGTGAGGACCGTGAAACTTCGATGGCACTTCTCTCTTGTCAGGCTTATTTGCGTCTCCCTCGTATTTCTCGTTTCCTTTTGATAAAACATCCTTAAACAGAAAAGAGCTTATTATTTGCTCGAGAAAAGCTGTGTGAGTAATTTTAGAAATATAACAATATTGAATATTATTTGAATTTTAATGATTCTATTATTGATATTAAGTTTAACTTTTTGTTAAATTCCTAATGTCAAATTATATCCAGTTTGAGTTATTTTTAACCATTTTTATATAAGTCGCCCCTACTCAATATGTTATTAGTTTAACTAAAACAATGGTGTTAAACAATTTAACTCTTAAATTTAAATTTGAAATTTAAAATGTATTAAATTTCACTCAAATTTAGTTTATTATTTACATATATTGCATATGTTAATATGAACGTTGTTGTTTACTTTAAAATGAATTACAGAAATAGATTGATTTACGTGTTGACACATATAGAGGTTAAAAATAACAAAACGTTTTACTGAAAAAATTGGATTTTATATTTAAATACCACTCACTTCTTTTATATTTAATAATGTGTAATAAAGGTTTTTTTAATTTATTAATTTCGGAATGATTTTGCGATTTTGTAGAAAATGTCTTTTTGCAAAGTTATTATTTAATTTTAATTAATATTTAATTTTTTTGACTGAATAATTGTTTATTATGAGTTTCTCGATGGAGACGATGTTAGATATATACGTATTTATTGTATGTATCAATTAATAGAAAACTTGAATGAATACATTCATATTCTTATTCAAAGAATAAATGATTTTGCTGAAATATCAAAAAATTTACTTGGATACAGATCTGAAAATAATTTTGTTAAATCATCAAAAATTTATGTAGAATTATGTAGCTTAAGCATTGATAACAATACAGTAAAAAGTTTTAACATTTTAATTTCAGTATTCTACGTAATTATTTCGATTGGTCAAACAAAGTTATTTTCAGATCTTAGCTAAATTTTTAGTTACACTTCAACAAACCGTTCCTTCCGTGTACAAAATATAAAAGCTTAGGACGGCGTTATTCATTACCACGATACCTAGAGATTATCGCACTTCAGGGTCAGATTTTCTTCTGTTGAACATCGCGCGAGTCACGCACGCGTGTTCTCGCGGTTTATCTTAACAGCCACGAGAAGTCTCGTGATAGGATCTGGACATCTTATATTCATGTTTACGTAATTACTGCGATTTTAACATGCTTGTGATTCATATCGGACAGCATTCGTTTTATTCGCGCACGCTTGCAAAAATCTCACAAAAGCGCGAAATACGATATACGATATACGACGCTATGCCATCGTAGATTTACTTTATAATTAAGCAAATACTAAAGACATGATACGCGATGCAGTGTTCCACAATAAGTTTTCGTAATACGAGCGTCGATCGATTTACTATCATACTGAGTTTTTGTTGTTTGAATTTATTGAAAGCGTCACTTTTGAAAAAAAAAAACGTGAGAAATCAGCGGATTTTCACATTCTATTCGTGTGGAAATGCTGAATATGTAATCGTCAACGATGTACATTGCTGATGGACTGACGGATCGACAGTCGACATTCGACGTTATCTGACCACGTTTACGGAAATAGATATGCCAGATAAATGGCGTAGCTTAATTGGAACGTCGATATGGCATAATGGTATTGACGACGACGAGGGAAAGCAATATAACACATCTCTTCCTTCGTTTCCGCTTGTATTGCACTTTAAGCCGTATTGGTTCGAGATTCTGATGGAGTGTACGTGCCGGAAGAACAATGTAACCGACATGCCTGGACCGGAAAATTTTCGTTGATCGGGTCAACGAAGTAACTTCGCGTCGTCGAAAAGATTCTCAGATGAACAATATTTGTTCTCGATAGCAGAGTGAAATCGAAAAATATTTTGTTTGTTTCGATTTGGTGCGAAAACGAGACATCTTGTTTGTGTTCTTTTCGTTTGCGAGGAAGAAAACATCCCGATTTCTATGGGTGTTTTCGCAAGTCGCGTTCAGTAACTACGTTTAAAACTGGTTTTCCATTTTAATTAAATTTTAATCAAATATACAATTCACAAAGTAAATTATTTTGACTATCGGAAATGTTTTTTTTTTTTACTAAATAATATTGCCGGTATAGTCTTTGTTGATTAAACGAACTCGTTGCGACAGAGCAGCTCGCACTTCCGGTCAAGAGAAACAAATATCGCGCGCCACGACGTCGCTTGCAGCGCGAAACGTTAATAACCGGGAGTGATGTATGGCCGAAAAGTTTATATTCCGGCCAGACGCGGGGGTATTATGATAGATTACGCAACATTCCGCGCAGAGGATGCTCAACGAAGTTAACAAGTTGATTAGTCGGCGTGGCGACGATTTAAATAACGTTACGTCGCGACGCCACGCCGTGCCGGTAGTGTTAGCAGTGCGGCAGCCTTTCAACATGGGAATAAATATTCGTCTAAAAGATATTATAGTAAATTTACGAAATTATATTATTTAAGAAAATGTTAAATTCTCTCTCTCTTTCTTTCTCTCTCGAAACTACATTTTACGCCGAGACTCCCTTTACTATGACATGAGAAAACTAATCTTTCGAATTTACATGAAATATTCAGGAAACAACAGTTTTGCTGAAGTATCTAAAAATTTAGATATAGATCTAATAATAAATTTTTGTGGATTATCAAGTAAAATTATTATTTATTATTAATACATTAATCGAGCATTCAATGTTTGGATTGAAATTATTTCATTAAACATTTAATATTACCACTTTTTTCATTGTATAATATTTGTATGTTAGTTTTAGAAGTATAAGATATACAGTCTTTTAATTGATTGTATTTTCTTGAAAAAAGCGGTAATAAAAGCAAGAGAAGATTAACAAAATATTAAAATTATTATTAAAATAAATATTTTTTATTTTTATTTTTGTTAAA